CAGTGTCTGTCTCTGTGATATAAACTTGCGCAGCCCTTTGTGGATCTGTATTCAGATCTGTATTATGGATTCACTGGAGAGAACTTTCAGATGAGTTTTTAAAGAAGCTGCATTTATAAAGCCGAACACTGGGACTGCACTGAAGGGGGGGGTGATTTAACTTTTTCCTTTCCATTATGGTACTGACAAAAATGGCCTCCCTCCCCCAGCAGCTGCTTATATCAGGAGAAGAGGATCTGTTAGCACCAATAGAAACTTTTCACTGGTGTGACTAACTTTGATCGAGGAAGGTTTCCTTAGGGCTGTGGGGGAGGGGAGGGTTAAACTTTCCCTCCCGATGCCCTGAGATACTCCCCAGTATTTGCTTAGATTCCGGGTGACTGCAGGTACCACTCGTGGTGTGCCCATTTGGGGAGAGGCTGCAGGACTGTTTGGAACTAAGCAGGGACAAGTTAATTACATCCTAAAGGGTAAGATGTTGCATTTTTAATTTGGCAAAAGTCGTACAGATTTAAGATTAAATACATTCTGGAATAATTTAGAATATGAAATCAAATTAAACAAATTCTGCTTTTTCCTCTGTTTAAGGCAATTTGTACTATAAATACCTAAACAAAAAGATCATATACATAGATTTACTTACCTCACAGGGTTATTCTCGTGGGGAAAAATAGGAGGAGGGGGCACCGTATGCATCGCCTTGCATTCCAGTATCAAAGTTGGGGTACAAATCTAATAAATCAGTCAATAAATTATTGTATATAAAGAAGGATAATTCTTCATTAATTATATACAATAATTAGGAAAAAGGTCAAGCGGTTGTTTTGATTGTGTTTTTGGCTGCTGTGGAGGGTGGGAGTTGATGGGTTTTTTGTATTGGATATTTTACTCTGTAAGCTGCCCAGAGTCATTGTGTGTGAGTTGGGCTGCCATATAAATTTGTTAAATTAATTATTTTAAATGTTAAAGTAATTATTTTAAATAAATAATTAATTCACAGAAAATTAACACAGGTAGTCCTTGGTTAACAATGGTAATTGGGACTGAATTTCCATCACTAAGTGATGTTGTAAACTGCAATGCCATGTGACTACATTGCTTAGCAACGGCAATCCTGGCAGTCGCTGTTGCTGTCATTAAGCGAGGATCACAGATTGTTAAGCAAGGACCTCCTTGCAAGTTTCTGCTGGCTTCCGACAAGCAAAGTCGATGGGGAAGCAGGCAGGAAGTCACAAGTCCCAGACGACTCACAAGCAGGCCAGCGGGCAGGTAAGTGGCTGCGGTGGTACAGTGTGAGCACAGTTGGGTGTGGAGTGGGTGCTCCCGGGGGTAGAAGGGCACACAGGCAGCTGCTGTGGTGCCATACAAGTGCAGCCAGGCCAGGGGTGGCTGCTGCCGGGAATGGGAGGGTGCGCAAGCAGTGAAAGTGGGAGCAACTTACAGGAATGATTTACGACCTTCCCTGCTGGCTTCCCCATTGCCTTTGCTTGTGGGAAGCCGGCAGAGAAGGTTGCCAGTGATGATCACATGACTGTGGGATGCTGCAATTATCATAAGTGCATGCCAGTTGCCAAGCACCCGGATCATGATCATGTGACCAAGGGGGTGCTGAGACAGCCGGAACTTCAAGGACCAGGTTTAAGTACCACTTGTTCAGTGCCGTCTTAACTTCAAACAGTCACTGAATGAGTGGTCATTAACCAAAGACTACCTGTATGCCTGCAGTGTCCCTTTCTAAAGGACTCTGTAAATTTTTGTAATGTTTAGAAACAATCTGTGGAATAACTTAATACTATTTCCAAAAGAGGAACATTTAAGGTATGCCAAGAAGAAAGTGTTCTGTTTGAATGAAACTGTTCGGAAACTTTTTCTGATAGCAGAGAATGTATATACATCACCTGCTGTTGTAATGTGTCTAATATTCAGGAGAAGAAACCAAGAAAAGAACAAAAATAAATATTTAAAAAATTTTTTAAAATACTTTAAAAAATATTTTTATTAGAAATTTTAACAATAGTAAAAGATAATACAAAGTGAAATTAATAAAAAAAGAAAAAAGAGAAAAAATGAAAAATGCAGAAAGAAAAAGAGCAAAAGAAAAGAGAAAGAGAAAGCAAAAAAAGAATAAAGAAGTGACTTCTGATCTTCTTTACAAATACAAGAAAACTTAGTATTTCTCTACCCCTTTGATATTATATTACATAAATCACTTCTTCCCATATCCCAACCCTTATTCATCCACAAATCCAAAAACCATTCAACATTTCTGCACAGGATCAGCAAAAAGTCCATAAAGGGTATCCAGAACTTTATAAAACTATTTCTTATTTTAACCTTGATCAAATAGGTTAACTTTATATTCCTTTCTTTTGCTCCTAACATTCTTAATCTTTACTTCATTAAGAAGCTGTCATAGGATTTGATCTTCATCCAAATTTTCTTTCTCCCATCTTGGGAGTTTCTTCAAGGCTTTAACAATTTTCTTTTGTAAATCCAATAAGGAGTCATTAACCAGGTCATTTTTCATCACTTGGCTTATCATTTCTATTTCCACTTCAGTTTTCATCTCTGTCTTATACTCCACAACTTATATTTTATTTTCTGGTATTTCTGCATAGGTTAGAATATGTTTTACCTCTTCATTCTGTTGGTCTGTAAATTTTTCCAAATTATTCTCCTTCACATCTTTCATTTCTTCTTTAAAATCTTTTTTGAATAATGCTTTCGCAAGTACAGATATTGCTGCTGTCACTGTAGCTGTGAGCTTCTTTCCCATTTCTTCAAAAATCCTTTGAAATGTCTCCAATTTAAAGGCAATATCTTTATCTGTAATTTTTACAAGTGTCGCTTCTAATTATCAAATTCAAAAGTAAAAAGCAGGCTTTTCTTTCTTTCTTTTTTCTCTGCCTGGGGTCTTTAGTCCCCTCTAGTGTCTCATTTCTGTATCACATAGTCTGTCTCAAATTTCATTTGCTTCAGCTTATCATCTCTTTCCTGAAAGACTAAACAATTTCTGTTCCCACGAAGATACTGTTTTGTTTTTAATTATTTCAAAAGTCTTGTAGCAAGTCATAATATTTCAAATATTAAATCAAATATTTCAAATTTGTCTGGTCCCTTAGTTGTTTCAAACTTTCTTGGATTAAATTCTATTTTTTGCCATTTATTTTATATCTTTAAATTGTTAGTTAATGTGTGTGTGTGGGGGGGGGTTCTGTTTAACTAAAGGGGCATTGCTATGCCCCTTAATCGTCTCTGGATTGCTGCAAGTAGTAAGGTGTTTCTGAGATATATTGTGGAACTGCTAGATAGTTGATTGTATAGCAAGCATGTTAATTTTGTGTTACAACAGTTTAACAGACTAAGAATTCATTTTGAGTCCAGACTCAACTAAAAGTGCTGCTAAGTAGCTTGAAAGCAAGTTACCTAACATATATTTTTTCTATATGTGCCTGCTAAACTATTGATAGGCCCATCTCTCATTCTGCCAATTTTTGAAGTGCTCCTGGTGGGAACAAAAAAGGTTTTTTTAACAGCAGCATTGAGATTTAAAAGTCTCATCCTTCAGAGATTTATTTGGTTCTTTTTCTTGATACTTTTCTCACCAAAATCATTTATAATTAAGTAGCTCTTTCATCTAAAAGTAATCTGCCAGCCATCGTGCTCAAATTGTAAGTGTTGTTTTAGGTATGATTTGAGATTTTGATGGGTTCTTATTCTATTTGCATTGTATTTTTAATGGACTGAAAGCATGTACAGCATTAACAGGAACCCCAGTCACAAAAGCAGAAATGGCCAGAAATGTAAAACTGCAGAAATCCTATTGGTAAAAATGGTCAGCTATGTAAAAACTCAGAAGCCTATTGGTAATCAGACTGCAGACCTGCTCTTTCATGGGGAATGACCCCATCTATAGCCAGTATTGATGTGGTTTTAGATCCTAAATATTTTTGGACAAATAGAAATTCTGTCCTGCTTGGATTAAGCCTAAGCTTGTTTCCAGACTGTCATAGGCTCCAGACAGCAGGCTAGAACGTCCACAGTGTATCTAGTACAGCCTGGGGTGGCGAGATACTGTACAGTTGAATATCATCAGTGTACTGATATCTCATCCCAAACCAGCAGCTTTGTATAGATGTTAAATGGAAGTGGGGGAAGACCTGGGTTCTATAGAACATCTTTAGGCTCAATCTCTCTTCCTTCCTCCATTACTGACTAAAACTGCCTCAGTGGTAGGAGTGGAACTACTGCAAAATTGTGCCTTCAACTCTCAACCCCCATAAGCAGTCCAGTAGATTACCATGATCAATAGAATCAATAGCTGCTGAGAGATCGAACAGGTCTAGGAGGGGAGAACTCCCATTCTCCAGGTGTCTAAGGTAGGTCATCTACCAGAGTGACCAATGCTGATTCTATCCCATGCTTGAGCCTGAATCCAGTCTGAAAAGAATCCAGATAATCTGCTTCATTTAAGACCCTGTGTAGCTCAGCCACCACTAGAACCTTTTCTGCGAACTTCCCTAATAAGAAAAGGTTGAAGATTGGTTGATATTTATCAGGTAAGGCTGGATCAAGATATGATTTCTTCACCACTGCCTTTTTCAAGGCCAATAGCAACACGCTCTCACTTCATAGGAAAATTAACCATCTCTCAAATCCAGCCACCCATGACCCCTGCTCTCCAGTACTCAAAGAAGCTAGGAAAACCATGGGTGCAGCTCACAGATAGTGGTGTCCACATTACGAGGATGCTATCCACTTATTTGGTTTCTACAAGCTTAAAAACATCCCAGATAGCTTTGCCAGATGTGCATGTAAGATTTACATAAGACTCAGTAGTATTTTTCCATATTATTTTTGCTCTGCATTTCGTGACTGCAGCTGGGTAAGATCCTAATGAGACAGATTGATATGGATAATTTGATGAAATAGCCAAGTTTTTCTTATGCATGTTTTTTGTCTCCATTTCTGCCCTCACATTCATCTCTTCTTTTCTTTAGGCTGTGCATCTAGCTCAGGCAAGTTTCAAGATCGAAGCCTTTGGTTCTAAGTTTATTCTTGACCTCTCACTGAACAAGTAAGTTTATATTTGTGGTTTTTATTTACTTTGTTCATTATAGTAGTCATTTTAATTAAAATAAGTATTTTAATGAAAGGAAAAGTTCATACAGTATACGCATTTCCTGGAATGTTACAAAGCTACAGTCAGGACTCCCACTCCAAACATTTCTGCAGAGAGATAACACAGCAGCAGGCAATTAAAGATTTCTAAATAACCTCTCTTTTTTTGTTCAGATCCGGATGACAAAGGCCACCAGATATCTTAATTTTTAACATATTTGGCATGCTTGGTGTCCTTCAGCACATTGCCAGCAAATTTCACAGTTGCGGTTTCTGAATAACTATTTATTCTATGAGCTTCAAATTGATGTAATCTTCCATTGTAAAATCTTAACATATTTTGTAAATTGTATTACGGTGAGTTAGGTAACTTCACCTGGTAAAATCACATACAATAAGCATTACAGATGAAACCGATGTAGCTGGTTGCTGCTCTTTTCTTACTTAAATATCTTGGTAAAAGTTGCTACACTAGCAGAGAAGGAAGGACAAGAAAGAAGCAGAAGAATCTGGGTACAGGTAGTCCTCAACTTACGACCATTTGTTTAGCGAACATTCAAAGTTATCATGGCAGTGAAAAAAGTGACTTACGACCAGTCCTCACACTTAATAACCGTCACAGCATCCCCACGGCCACATGATCAAAATTCGGGCACTTGGCAACCAGTATATAATTATGACAGTTGCAACATCCCAGGGTCACGTGATCGCCATTTGCGACATTCCCAGCCAGCTTCCAACAAGCCAAATCAATGGGGAACCACATGATTCACTTAACAGCCGCAGTGATTTGCTTAACAACCGCCACAAAAAAATCTCGTAAAATTGGGTGTGGTCACATGATCCCTTGCTTAACAACCACACCACTTAATGACAAATTTTCCAGTCCCTATTGTTGTCATAAGTTGAGGACTACCTGTATAGAGAAAAGAAGGAAGAAAATTTAAGAAAAAGGAAGGGCAAGGAAGTTCCTTGAGATGAAACTTTAATCCACATCATCTCTTTATTATAAGAATTAATGTGGTGTTTTATATTAGGACTCAACAAGATTTCCAGGTGCGGGGTTCCATCATTCAGTAACGTTCAGCGATGCCAGTGCTAAACTATAAATATAACTAAAAATAGCTGAAATCTGATCAGATCAACATCTCAAGAGAGAATATCAATATTCTCTTTATTGGTTTTTCCAGTTCATTTGAGCTTTAAATGTATATTTCTTTTCAGTGAGTATGCTGACATTTTTTGTCACTTTTGGAATAGACTTTTTATTGGAACTGTTTGATTGTGGGAGTAAGCGTGCAGTATCTCTTCTGTTTTAAAGAAGGGCATTGGTTAGAATTCTCTCATTGGCAGACCTTTGCTTTGCAATTTTGGCATAATAGATTTTCTCAACTTTAGAGGAATTGTGAAACCAGATATTGAAGATGGCTGCTTCTGTTAACTTGTATTCTCCAGATTCAAGAAATATCATTGCTGTATCTCACCATTAGTAAGCAACCTGTTACAAAGATGATTCTTCAGTTGATACTTCTCTTACTTCCTCCTTCAGGGTACTTTCTTGGTGCCATCTAAAAGGCAACACTCTTAAGGCTCTGTAAATATCAGGCAAATCATTGTCAGTGCTGATATCTAAGAAATCCAAATCCAAATGATTAGCTATAACAATCACTCTAAGCATTGGTGGCAGCATAAGAAAAAAACAAACAAGGTTATTCTGAGATTCGTCACAGCACTTACTATCTTGATCATTGTTATGGACAGGCAATAGCTGCACTTCAAATTCCTAAATTGTTTAACCTCGGACTCTCTGTCCCCTCAAAGAATTATATTTTGGAATTCAGGTCTCTTTCTACAGCGCAAACGTCCTCTGTATTGTTGGATCCTGCAGCAAGGAATCACACTACCCATGGAAGATGTCCACTATTTGGACACCTATACTGCACATCTCTACTAATGTATCTTGGAACACACCCTCTTTTTTCTCCTTTGCTTGCATGAGGGGAAGGCAGGAAGAGTTCCAAAGCACTTTTTTGCTCTTGAATACAAAGTATCGCACAGCTCTGGTGTTTTGCCCCATAAGCTGACTGCTTCCAATGATACCATGTGTGATAATCTGTTACACTTTGCCACCCATTATACTGGTCAGATGATCAGTAGTGTGTGGGATCAGAGAGGTGCTTATTTTAGCCATTTCAGGCTGTTTCAGGCATATCTTGTCCCATACAGTTCCTGGCCAGTCTCATCTGCTATTATCTCTTGGTGACTATCAACTTTCTCTTGGTGACTCAATGCTGGACTCAGTAGTGCTGTACCAGTGATCCTTCAGATTTACCTAAGAGTGATAGAGCTGTATTTTAGCATAGTGACCCCCTTTGTATTTTTCTGGCAACCCTGCTTCAGGCACATGCAGATGATTCCCCACCACAAGCATGCTTCTATCCGTAGAGCACAATGTGACATGTGGATGTCAACCTTTTACAAAATGGTGGAAGCAATTGATGGCTTGTAAATTTCAATGGCGGTGTCCCAGAATTGCTCATTACTACTAGGCTGCTCAGCTACCAGTACTGTAAGCATTTTAACTCTTTGGTCCTTACCTGTTTAGCACAAGCCTGAAATGAGAGTGGCATGACCAATCCAACCCTATCCCCCATATGTTGGAACAGTACGTGGAATAAGCTGAAAGCTGGTATTTGTTCTCTGTACACTATACAGAAAGCAAATGAAGGGGTAACTCATCTCATTTCATGAGTCTGACCTTTTACAATTTTATTCAGTTTTAAACTTTAACCCAACTTTATTGGCACAGGAAAGCATGGGAAGGAGCCTAGAGATGATAGATAGAATCCTGTAGCCATACTCCATTCTTCCTGCTGTACTTGGTGGGTGTTTTCCCTGTTGGATGATGAGGGATTAAAGAGGAAGGGCAGCAAAGCCAATCGCTCTGCTTATTAAATCTTGCACACGTATAGTCGGGAAAATACCATTTGGCAATAGTCAAAGCAAAAACAATATAGACACAGTAGGGATTGGCAGTGGGGGCAGCAAGCTGCATACTGGCAGTTCTTTACTGATTCAAATATGGATAGATAGTGCTTTAACTCAAAGATTTGTAAGGACCCAAATACATGAAGAAAGCAGCACACTGTCCTTACTCCCTGCCTCTTCCCTCTTGCATGGATTGTTACCATTTCTCATCTTTAAGAGACTGAGAAAATGCCACAGGAACACGCTTCTGACTTTTCCTCCCATGCCTGGATTCCTTCACCACTGTCCTTAGACATGATAATTATTTGTGGAGCAGTGGTTAAGGAGAACTAGGACTAGGTTGGGATGAGGTCTGAGGAGATCCAGGATGTATTTATTTATTTATTTAGCAAATTTATATAGGTTCATTGCCATTCTCACATGGGCCAGTCACTGTCTTCCTCAGCTCAGTCTGTTTCACAGGGCAGTTGCAGAAAGCAAATCTGAGAAGGGAGTATGATGTTCCTCCTTGAGCTATTGAAGGAAAAGTAGGATATAAACAAGTTAATTATCAACCAAGATTACTAAAGAATTTGTGTCTTAATCAGGATTTGAAATCAGGATCTAATGTAGGTTACAGTCCTATGTGAGGAACTGTCAGCCCTTCGAGGTAGACCAGACAAGGAAACCAAAATTATGAAGGCTAATACAACTTTTACTATAGGGTTATAATAACAAAATCTTGCAAGTCTGAATGTGCCTCCCCCGTCCCTGCCTTTATCCTAAAGAGAATTGGGAGGGTCAAGTCTGAGATATTTTCTCAAATTATATTTCTGGTTTGGACTCAGATTTCTTTTATCTGACCACGGTCTTGGTTGCAGCTCTTCCTCCTGTTCCTCAAGGTTATTCTCATATCCCATTACAGAAACAAATCTTCGTTAGCATTAGCCATGGTTGATATTGGTAAGATGTTTCAGCGAATCACAGCAATGAACTTTGGATATGGAAGATATACAGACGGTGGGAGGATATAATTATGAAAAATGAATTAGGATGAGGAAGCTTGTAAATCTGTACTTGACTCGTACATTTAAGCGCCCAACAGCAATTTATTTTAATAGCTTTGTTTTATTTGACAGTAAGCACAAGGAATTTGACCTGTATGGTGATGTAAGACTAGGATGCTTTAACCCTGTCCTCCCTACTGCTTTTGTAATCCAAAGTATTCCTGGTGTGTTGCCACTGATGTTGTCCCAGAATGATCCAGTTAAATAATTTGATAACTTTTTAACAAAGGAATGGTGAGAGTTCTGTTCTGAATTGGGAGCACAACAAGGGAGCTGGGGAGAAAGTTTGGAGCCCCGTATCTTTCATACTAGGCTTGCATCTGGATTGGATCCTTCAGTATATGCTGGACTTCAGTAGCTCATAGTCCATAATCTTAAAGTTGTTTTACCAGAGCTGGATTATTGAATGGGATAATTCATGTTTATGATATCATAATATAGTGCTACCGTGATCAATTCATTTACAAGTTAAAAGGGCCTTTCTTGCCAGGAACCCTGAAATCTTTATGTGGCTGCTTTAGTGAATAGTAGAGAAATGCTGTGCTTTCATGTGGTCAGAAGCATTCCTCTGAGTAATTTTTGACGTGTGCACCATCCTAGAGCACAGGAGGCTATCTTTCTGCTCAGTTATATAGCCCTAAAGGAAGGAGACCTTAGTGTCCTCAAATGTTTTGGAGTTTTGAAGTTTAAATTAGAAACACCTGAGGCACAGGGTTGCCCACCGCTATACTCAAGTGTTATTCAATATAACATTTAGTGGTCAAGGGAGCAATAGCACTGTAGTTTCATTTCCTGTTTTTTAAGGCGATGTAATCTTGAAAAAACATCCTGGAAGAAAATAATGAGTGGCAAACAAATTCTGTGCTATGTAAGTCTCCCCCATTAACTGAAGATGTAAATACTACAAATAAAACTGACACCACCCCACCATTACAGAGCGACTTGGGTCAACATATGGCCACTGATGTTTATCCTTCCCTCCAATAGGAGCACATCATATAGAGTTCATTGGGAAAAGAAGACTCTCCTTCTACATAAGTCGAATTGCTGAATGCAACTTAACATAAACTAATCATATTTAGTTTATCTGCTGCCATTTCCAAGCCCTGACTTAAGATGGAAATATTGCCCCCAAGCCAAGATGAGCACCAGATTAATACCTTTGAAAACTCCACAGGTATGGGACCTCCTAATACAGGTCACCAACACCTTGCACTGGAACAGTGGCCCTCACAGCGGAGGAGAAACCCAGCTGATAACAGGCTGAAACTTAGACACATCTATTCAGAGGGATACTTGCTACACCACAGTTGCGCCCCAAGAGATGCAAGAAATTGCCCACCCATCAGCTTCTGACTTGAACTGATGGGTAGAAGACAACATGGGATATCCCTATTGTCCTGAGTTGTCACAAAAGGCATTCCTGCACCAGAGATGCCTCTACTCTCACCTAACTAAGTATGATATCATCTTAGTCCAAAAACATGGGCATGACAAATGGTTATAATGCCTGTGCATTTGAAACTGTAGCCCCACTTTGCACGGGTAGGTTCAAAGAAAGACTTGCAATGCACCCCTATCACTTTAGGGGTGGTGATTGAAATACAATTGCTACATTATACCAGTGACTATGCATGTCCAGTAAGCCGCCAGGCTAATAATTAATTGCCCCCTGGAAAATGTTAAGTCCCAAACACAGGCATTCATGATTGGAGGTGATTTTAATGGCAGGTTAGGACCAGATGGAAATACCTTATATCCCTTATAACATTCCTGCTTATCTGAATCTGAGGGACAAGTGCTTCAACCAGCATGTTCTTCTACAGCAGTGTTTCTCAACTTTGGCAACTTTAAGTTGCTGGCTGGCTGGGGAATTCTGGGAGTTGAAGTCCTTGCAGTTTAAAGTTGCCAAGGTTGAGAAACACTGTTCTACAGACTTCTTCTCCCAGTATCTGATTACCATCACTAACACTTGAGGAAGGCTTTTGCATCTCCAACTACAGACCATGCCTTTGGCATACCTTGAAGGCAGCTTTTGTAAACAACCAGTGAAACAGCATCTCTGACCCTGAAGTGCTGGCCAAGTGGAGGACATTATTCAATATGCCCACTGCTGCCCTATCTGTGATGAAATCAGGGAGAAAACATTGATGATAAACAAACTTAAGTGGTCAGATACTGAACGACTGAACTACCCTCTTGCAGATATGATTCCATCTGTTAGCAATCAGTTGCTACTTTTGCCATGTTTTCTTTTAAGCTTAGAAAGAAAATTTTAATCTGTCATTTGTAGTGTGGGTTCCATCTGAACTTAATTCTCTTGTATGTTTTTCTCTTTGTTGTATTCTTTTTCTGTTTCATTATTATTAACAATTTATTCCTCTTTTACGCTATGTCATGTTGTTACGATCTGCAGTCGAAGCAATAAACTGATTGATTGATTCTAACATTGTAGGACTTTGTCACAGATGTCCTATCAGTGTAACTTACACATTTTAAACAGTTCTCTCCCAAATGATCAGCCAGCAGAACTCATTTATTGGGGAGGAAATAAAATGAGTCTTATTGACTATATAAACCTCCTTCAGTTTATTGATTTGTTTGATATTTCAGTGTACTTTAATAATGATAACCTGATAACATCTTCCACTTCATTTTTGTGAAAGGAAAGGCTGTATCATTCCAGTCTATACTCGGCTGGGAGAATCTGCCAGATTAAATGGTCTGCGCATGTGGATAAGGCTGCCACAGAACATTTCAGCTCTGACCTCTTGCAGAGAATTCACCATCTATTACTTTCAGCAGAATCAGTGAATTTGTTTATATTGGAGTATGATAGACTTCTTTCTGAACTTCAACAATTCATGAATGCTTAGCACTCTAACCATAATAAAAGACAGGCCTTACCCTCTAGGCCATGGTTTGATAGAGAAAGCAGGTTGGCAAAGGCCTTATAGGATATGCATGTCCAATCCAGACTCTTTTTCCACCAAGAGCTCTTAAGACAAAAGGGTCAGTATAAACAATCGCTATCACATGAAAATCCCTGGCTCCACTTGTTCCAGGCTGTTAGGACTAGGAACTCTGCCCTTTTCTGGTGCTTAGTATCTGATTATTTGAATACAGGCTCATCCTCATTAGACAGTTTAATTCTTCCAGAAACATGGGAAATACATTTTAAGGAGTTATACAGCAAGGCTGATGCTACCAGCCATGTATCCAACAATCTGATAGACCTGCCTTCATGGCCGCTAGTTGGTTCCACTGAAATTGTAGATTTGATTGCCCAACTGAAATTGGGGAAGGCGCCTGGAAATGACTTGATTTTGCTGAATTTGATAAAGAGGGAAGTGGACTATTGAGCCCCTGTATTAGCAGCCCTGTTTATGGTTGTTGATTAGCTTGGGTAAATTCTTAAGGATTGGGTTGTTGCAATCATAGTGCCTTCCTATGAGAATTGCACTAGAGAGAATCCTGCCAATTATAGACCAATAAGCTTGCTCAGCACTATCACAGGCTTTGTGCCAGGCACTTGCAATGGAAGCTTGATGATTGGCTAGAGCAGGAAAAGCTCTTGATGGAAGAGCAGACTGGTTTCAAGGAAGGTTGATCAGCTATCATGTATAGTCTTGCAAAACTTGATAGAGAAATAGTCAATCTGTAACCTCTCTTTATGGAGCTTTTATTGATTTAAAATCTGCTTTGACTCCATTTCATGTGATATTCTTTGGGAGAAATTGAAAACTTCCTCTGTAGATAGGAGGCTTTTATATCTAATGTGTTTATTGCATGAGACACATCTGTGTGGGTCAGATATAATCCCCAGGGCCATCTTACCAATTTAATTCCATTTGAGAAGGGTGTTAAGCAAAGCTGCATTTTAGCCCTTCTCTTGTTCAACTTCTATACTAACAACCTAGTTGACTATTTGGGTAGTTCAGTTCACTGTCCCCCCAAGCTGGCAGGAAGGTGAATCTCTGCCTTTCTTAATGCTGATGATGCTGTGATCCTCTCTAACACCCCCACTGGCCTTAGGAGAGCATTGCTAGCCCTTGCCCAATAATGCAAAGAGCGTTATTCTAAATTATTCTAAAAGCAAAATTAGGGTGTTTGCCAGGCATAAAACTATTCCTACACATTAATAAGGCTTGCACTGCACATGTGTTGTGCCACCTGAGGGTGGTATTTCATGCCTCAAGCTGTTGAAGGGCACATGCCAGCCATGCTGCCCTGAGTGCACAAAAGAGTTCAGCAGAGCTGGAAGGGAGGGCTGTTGCATTCTAGCGCCCCTTACATTATTTCAAGCTGAATCTTTGTCCCAGCTCACTTACAGGGTGCAGGTTGGGTACTTTTCCAGCTTTCCCTCCCTGAAACAAGTCCAGTCCAAATTCCTCAGGGTGTCATTTCAGGTGCCTTGTTGTGTTTCTTATGCATCCCTGTGCCTTGAATCAGGTACGATGAAGGTAGAGGCACCTAATGGGATGGTCCTGAATATACTACGGCTGGTTTTGTATGTCTCATCATATTATTTCTTTATCTTTTATACTTCATCGTTCTATTTTGGTCTTTGACCATAATAAAGTTTAAGTTCAAGTTGAATTGGGACAATTACACAAACCCTTAGAACATGCTATTTTAAGCTATTTATAATTTCTAAAATTATTTTGTTATGTAAACCACTGTTAAAGAGGCCACTGGTTGCCAGCCTATTGCGAGTGTATTGCAATATTGGCTTTAATGTCTTGTGAATTTTCTTGAGCAGTGCAAAAGAGAAATGAGAGACATAAGTGCTATTTATGCATAAAACTAGATAACATTGGTTTGGGGTCAGGCTTGTTTTGGGGGTGGGGTGCCTTTGAGGCAGCCTTGACTCCTGGCAACTACATGGACAAGCCTATGGAATTTTCCAGGCAATATTTTTGGGAGTGTTTTGCCCTTATCTTCCTAAGGCTGAGAGAGAGTGACTGGCCCATGGTTACCCAGCTGGCTTTGTGCCTAAGGCGGATCTAGAACTCACAGTCTCCCTTTAACTTAACCACTTAAACACAATATGCAGTATTCAAATTCAGATTTGCAGTAACAATACCTTATCAGGATAACTATTCTTTATTTTAAAATTATGTTGCCAGGATGAATAAAGTCAAAATTGGTCAGCTTTCTATAGTAGAGTATACTGATACATTTTCTCTTGTTTCTTTGCAGTGATTTATTATCCTCTGATTATGTAGAAATTCATTATGAAGACGACAAACCACAATATTCAAAGGTACTGTAGTCATTTTTCTTGTATTTGATAACATTAGCACATTTCATATTTTGATTTTTTTTTCAAACTTTTCGAAGTGTGCAATGTGCATTTTGTCTACTAATATCTGTGGCATTTGATATATCTGCTCTTTGCAATGATAGGGTAGTAGGACAAGTTTAATAAGTTTTAATAAGATTAGGCTTTGAAATCACAGCGTGCCTAGTTTAAAATATTGCTTAATTATTGTTTAATGTAAAAATATTAAGAAATTTTTTAAAACTAGACTAAAAAAAACCAGACCAGAAACCATCTAAAGTATTTAGTGTGGAAAACAGGCAAAATGCTGAATATTATTAGTCCCATTCTCTTGCTTTAAATTCAACTTCAGTTTCATCATTGCCAAACTGCTTATTATTCTGACAAGTAATATAAGTATTATCAACTGTAAACAGTGTGCTGGGCAATTGCAAACTGTTATAGAAAAGTAAGTTTTTTGGGTTTCAAAAAGCTATATTGTTATAACTATCTTCTCTGACTTTAAACTGGGACACATAGGTGAATTTTACTGTGTTGTAGTGCTATGTTCTCTTGATGTATATATTTATGGAATTTTCAGTTAGTTTTATGTTTGATCAAAAACAGTGCAGTTTTCTAATAATAGTCAACCATATACAAATATTTAGTAGTTGGAATTTTAACTGTAACAAAGTTGCTTATCAGTTATGACTAGTGGAAAGTAAAGCTGCTTGCATGTCTTGTTGCAGTATTGTCAGTTTCCTTTTGGGCCTGCATGTGAGTAGAAGTGGAACTGTGCCAACTTGAAGAAAAGAGGGCTATTTTTTTCACAATCATCTGTAATGGATAATGCATAAACCAAACTTTTCTATAAACAATGTGAGATTACGAGACTGTGGACTTATTTGGATGTTATCTCTGACCCTGTGACTATGCATGGTGAAATGAGGCAAGCTTTGGTCATTAATGTCTACTCTCTGACTTCAGACACCATACATTAACTATGTCTGCATCAGGACATGTCATTGTTATCTGATACCACAGATATTCATTCAAGAGAATTCTACATTGAAGAAACGGGGATGTTAGATTTTATTTGTGTTGGTGGAGGAGGGGGTAGAGAAAATAGTTTGAAATTTTACTTCATGTAGATGTTTATTGGTTGTGGTAATTAGTAATAGATCTACAGTTATAAATATGGATTGTGGCTTATTTGGGAGTGTAACATCTAGACTGGCTTTCAAAAGAATTTCCAAAATACAAATACTGTTAAAGGTCTTTACTGACAGCTAAAGAAACTATTATCAGCATTATTTGAGACATACTTAGGGGCTAAAACCCCTTCATGGATCACTGCCTTGTCATGGCGAAGGGGCTTGCGTAACTCAGTGAAGCCATGAGCTATACC